TAGCAGATGAAGAAAACGCAGATGAAGAAAAAGCAGCAGCAGCAGCAGAGGGGAAATGTGCAGGGCTGATGAGTTGCTGCAGTGAGTGCCACACGGCCAGCACGCACTGCTCCCTGCCATGGCACGCGCATGGTGCAGGTATTTGGGTGCGTGCATGAAAGGGGGATGTGTCAGGGAGGGGTGAGGGGAGACGAGGTAGAAGCTGAGTGAACGGGGGTCCTCGTAAGACAGAAAATGATACATTCTGTTCAGTAAAGTAAACCGAAAAAATTACATAAAAGAAACAGAAGGAAAAGAAAACTGCATGTGACCTCGAGGAATTGGGAACAGAGGAGGTGGATGGACGGATGACGATTCAAACCATGGATGGAAGGAGATAGCATAATGGATGAGATGAATTGGGGAAACGTTCTGATGGGAATGGTGATGGTAGACCGCAGATGCAGCAACACACGTCTCTCACGCCAACACACACCTGCTTTCCCTCCACTCACGCCACATATCTCCCCAGCCACCCCTAGCTGCTGCTGCTGCTGCTGCTGCTGCTGCTGCTCATCCAGCTGCTGCTGGTAGTCTACCTGCACCAGCGCATCCACAGCAGAGGGCAGTAGGCGGTCCAGAGCCGTGGCACGCAGGGCAGAGAGCGAGGAGGAGATGGAGGAGGAGGAGGCTGAGGGGGAGAGGAGGACGAACGGGAGGGATGCGGACAGGGTGGCCCTCACAGCATGCTGCAGGGTTTGTAGAGGCGATGCTGACTGGGAATCATTGGAACCCTTAGAGTCATAAGAGTCATTGGAGTTGTTAGAGTCCTTGAATGGAGGAGGTGGGATAGACGAAGTATTCTCGTCTGTGGCAGTGGCATGGCTCTGAGCTGGGGTTGGCGGTGCTGCGACGACGGTGGAGAGGGAGGAGAGGAAGCGGAGAGGAGAGATGCGGTAAGGGGCGGCGGGAGACTAAGAGCTCGGCCGCATGCACATAGTGGGACTAGGGGCTGGCCTAAAGCGTCCAGGTGTTCTGGAGAAAGCAGCTCAGAGCCATCGAATAAAGAGGGAACTTCAGGAGAGCAGCTACTTGGTGCAGGGTCGGGTCTTGTGGGTGCTAGATGGGTGAGACCAATAGGGTGTGTGTGCGGTAGGTGGAAGGGGGAGAGGCAGGCGGGGAGGAAGGTGCGAAGGGCGAAGTCCCAGTGCGAGCCATTGACTAGACACGCCACGGCTGACTCCATCAGCGCCTGAGAGGAGAGGACAGAGGGATGGTGGGAGCAAGGGAGAGAGGGAAACATGGGAGGGTGGGGGGAGAGGGCGGAGTGGGGAGGGGAATGAAGAAGTGTGATTGAAATGCTAGAATGTGGATTAAGAGCAGGTGGCCTTTGAGGTGAATAATGCTGTGTGAAGGTCTAATCAAAAGCTGTCTACATCGCTTCAGTTCCCCATTGCAGTGCAGCTGTGAATGAAATCGCAGGTGGAGGGGAGGGGACTGCCAAAGGGCACAGGTGACCTAAAAAAAGCATCCAACCATGCTTGCTTCAGACAAAGAGGAGCAGAAACCGAACGAGAAGAGGAGGAATAAGAGGAAGAAGAAGAGGAAGACAACGAGGAAAAAAAAGCCACCTGGACGGATTCAGCACGCACGGCTTGCTTTTCACGCCCCTCCACCGCACTGCTGCTGCTGTCTGACTGTGATCGCTGCTGCTGCTGCTGCTGGTGGAGTGATGGTAGCACGCATCGGCACATGAGGTTGTGCAGGTGGGCCTCCTGTTGGGCTGTTGTTATAGTGCATGGGATGGGGGGGGAGAGACAGTGAGAGTGCTGAACAGCTTTGGGGATACATTTGACGAGATAGATACGCTCAGAAACGAGATCGGTCGGACTTCCTTGAGGAAATGACAGTTGCTGAAGAGGTGGAGGGTCGCTGAAGGGTTGGGGTTTAGCGAAGGTGAAGCAACAAGAGCACAGCTGAAATAGACAATGGCGCCCTTACTCCTTTCCAAACTCCTGAAACCCCGCAGAACTCCCTTCCGTCTCCCCTTCCCCCCCCCCCCGCCCTCTCTCCTAACCCTTTCGTGATTACATTGTCTTTGATCCTCCCACATCCACTAACATCCCCTCAAAACTTCTAAACCCCTCAAATCCCTAGCCCCCTCAAAATCCCTCGCATCCCCTAATGCTTCTGTTTCTCTCATACACCTTTTCTCCCTCCAAGCACCGCTCAGCCCTCATCCTCCTCGCCTCCCCCCTCACCTTCCGGCAGACCCTGCAGCAGCTGGCATGCAATGAAGGCCCGTGTCAGCCCTCTCCCGTCCTCAAACTCCCTCGTTCCGCCCTTCTCCAATTCTCCCCTCTCCTCCTCTCCACCTTCCTTCTCTATCCCCCTCGCCTCTCTGCTTGTGATTGACTGTATGGTCGTGGAAAAACGGGAGAGGCGAGATACGGGATAGGGAGGGCATGGAATCCCGGGGGAATAGGCAAGAGAGGGGCTTTGTGAATTCTAGGACCCTAGGACAGGCAGATGCAGATCTGCAAGGGCTTTGCGAAGGTTCAGGGTTTAACGTTCAGGCCCAGTGACAGGCGACAGTCCTAAACGGGTTTCGCCGCTGTGACAACCCTAGACCCGGCGGGAAAAGGCAAGAAATACCAGAAAAGAAAAGAAAAAAGGAATTCACGTTATGTGCTGCACACGCAAGAGCGCGCAACACACACGCGCTTGCACATTCCCCCACCTTCCCCGCTTCCGCTTCCGCCAGCCAAGAGCGCGCACAGCAGCTGCTGCGGCTCGACGCCGCACGCCGCAATTACAGTCCCTGTGACGGCGGCAGCCAGCGACCGTGCTGCGGACGCCGTCGCGCCGTCGCTGCGAGCGAATCCCATAGCAGGCCCTGCAGCTGCTCTACCAGGCGCTCTGCAGTTGCCTGGGCTGTTGCTGCTGCCGCTGCTGCGGCGACAGCGGGACGAGCGGCCATAGCGGGAAAAGGCGGCGTCCCGTCCGTCGGGAATAGGTTAAGGTGTGCTCAAAGTGCGAACAAGAGGCGATCGGGTGTCATCTTTGTTTGGGTCAGGAACGGCAAGTGGCGCATTGAGTGGGAAATAGTTTTCTGCAGGACTCTGCGGGGTATAGCACGGGCCACATGATCTACTAAGGTGGTATGTAAGACGAACACCCTGCTACTCGTGTTGAAATTAATCAAATTCCAAAATTATGCATTTTGGAATCATGAGCCATATGCATTTTCTACATCCTACATCAGGGATAGGCATCCATGTTATAAAACACAATATGACTACTAGTTATTATTATGCATATATTCTTCTAAAGGGTCTCTCAATTGCAATTCACATCAAATAGACATTATTACTACGCCCATATTTATATATTTTATCAGGCATCTTGTAATGCGAAAGTATATCCATGAGAAATGATTAGTTATATCGATCAAGAGCAAAACTTAAGAGTAAATGAGATTCGTATTGTTGGAAATATCTCAAGGACTTAAGCGTTTCTAAGTGCAACACCACACTCGAGGAAGATCGTAACGGGTACGCGAGTCAACGGAGGTTACACAAGGGGGTGGACAAAGAACACGAAAGGACTCGAAGGGTTGCAACCGGAGGTTGCGACCGACCGTACAACTGCAAGGATGGTACGAAGCGACAATCGAGTCGATGTGCGACTCGATGACCGCCTTTCAACTGTATTTCTACAACTGCTTTACTTTCCTACTTTCTATATATTGCTGTATGCTTGTTCTTTTAATCAATCACTTGTTCTCACATACTAGTACAAGGGTTCAACTACTCAACTTCCGCTGCACTACTCAAGTCTCCTTTTACAACTGGACTTAGTCTCTGGAAAGATCCTAAGGGCTATTTTTCAGCCCAACATGGTATGAGAGCTGGTCAGAGACCAAACTCCCAGCAACTACGCTCTATCTACATTCAACAACTTCAACAAGCTTCATCAATTATAAGTCATGGACAACAAGGGGCAAGAAGATCTCTACGGGCTCACCTTGCGGCCAAGACACCCAACCCGGCAACTCTGGATTGCACACTTCAGGACTACAATCCGAGACCGGCGCTGCTCAAGAAACAACATGAAGGGCACCAGAAATGGTGACCCATCACCCTCTTCAAGCGTGGACCCGAACCTTATGGAAAGGTTCTTCAGCTTCATGTCACACTTCGATCAACAGCAGCAGACAAGGACACCTGCACATTCAACACAGAGCAACGGAGGAAACATGGGATTAGCACCGATGAGCCTCGACAACTCATCGTTCGGGCAACACAATCAAGCGCCTACCTTTGCGCCTTATCACTCTTCACCGGGGATGTTCGAGTTCATGCCGCCCCGTGCCCAACCAACAGCAGCTGCATCACAACAGACACCAAACGAGATATTAAGTCTCCAGGCGCAGTTTTCACACGTAATCAAACTACAGACATCTTCACCGTTCAACGGACACGACTTCTTTACCTGGAGCTTTGAGTTCGAGCTGCTGATGGAGGCTGCGCACCTCTTGGGATACTTCAACGGGTCCCTGCCATTTCCAAACAATGGCACTGCAGAGGAGCAAGAAATATTTACTTATCAGTCGCTGCTGGCGTACACAGTTCTCCTGCGGAACCTGTCACCACAAGAACAGCAAAGCATCAGAACGTATCGGAGCTATGGAAACTCCGCGGAACTCGCATGGCATCACCTCAAGTGTCTCTATCAAGCAAACGACAGCGGGACACAAAGCAGACTCATGCAGCAGCTGACAACAATACAGATGAAAACCAGGGAAAAGGCGATGCAATATAGGAGTCGCTGCCAGACACTCCGCGACCGCCTGCTTCGGTGCGGAGGAACAATCACTGAAGAAAGCTTCGTGACGCTTGTCCTCGCTGGGCTCGGGCCAGAATGGAGAACCACCCGCTCGCTTCTTCGCGCCCACGGACGAATCTCGGAGATGCACCTCTGCGCCGAGCTCCATGCTGAACAACAGGAGATGGACCTGTTTGAAGAAAGACAACCAAGGAAACAGCAGCCGTTAGTTTTCTACACTCAACGAAGGAACGACAACAACTACAACCGACGCGGCAAACAAGATCAACGCGACAACATAGGACTCACCATTTTGCCACCGTTCTGCCACAACTGTCAAACATCCGGACACTCCAAAGTCAACTGCACACGCCCCCGAGCTTATCGACCAGTAGACCCGCACGTCGCTTCCACTCAAGAAAGCCCGCCGAGGCGTTCCTCATCTGCACAATCACACCGAACATCATCAATTGCATGGTACACATCGACAACTGTGCACCCAGATCACCACCCACTTACGCTCCAGACAAAGAAGAACTGTTGCCGCCGCGCTCACAAGGACTTCAGGTCAACCCAACGTACGCTGCAGTCGCCAACGCCGAACCCACCGGGCGAAACACTTGGTTCTTGGACAGCTGTTGCGGCCAACACATGTGTTCTTCCGGGCGCTTCGTGCAGCGGGAGCGACACCTCAACCGCGATGTCATCATCACGATCGCCAACAACGAGAACCTGAAAACAAACAGACAAGGAGTGGTTCTGTTGCAATCCATGGAGACAAACGTTATACTGCAACTCAACAAAGTTCTCATCGTCGACAACTTGGGATACAACTTACTTAGCGTCAGCCAGTTAATGGCAAAAGGGATTCACCTGGAATGCGACTCGGACTCCAACGAGTTTCGCCTTTACCACGGGAAGGGCAGTCTTTTCATCGGTCGCGCTCTCCTGAAGTCGGGCGTCTTCGTGTTGGATTTTGTACCCGACCGCGGAATTGCCGACAGCGATGGCATCGTGTCGTTCGCCACATGGATGCACCCGCCGGATCTTGACCCCGACTTCACCCCAGATGGTTTCTGGTACTCCAACACCATACCTGCAGCAGAGAGAACACGAGCGTTAGTAATCATTCGACAAGAAAGACAAGTACCAGCAAGCGTCCCTTCCTCGACATCACCTGAAGTAACAGCAGTGGGACCCAGCCGAATACCATCACCAGCAATCCGAGGACCGCCAACCGAAGCAGATCAACTTATGCCAATCACACGAGAAGTCTGCCGAAGTCCCGCCACGGTCGTCGCGTTCTTCTCCAACACCGACATGTACCAACGCTCGCCCGGCCATCGCGCTCCCGACGACATCTGGCACCAACGCCTCGGGCACCCTGCAAACAGCACAGTACTACAAACCATCCAAGCCGAAGTGTTAGAACGAAACGCTCTTCTTACAATGAGCGGCCAAGAACTTCGACAACCTCGCGCACGGTGCTTCACGTGCCCCGAAGCCGATCTTCCCCACCAACCTTTTCCATCACATCACAACCCAAGCGCACCTGCATACGCACCGATGGAAAAAGTTTACAGCGACATCTTAAACATGCCTCGAGACGACACCGAAGCAGACTTCAACTATGTCATCACGTTCATTGATGCAGCAACAAGATATGTCTGGCACTACAACCTCAAGACGCGCGATCAAGCTTTCAAAGCCTTCACGACGTGGCTCCCATCGCTGAACGAGAATCAGGAACTAAGCTCAAGAGCTTCCAGTCAGACGGCGCACTAGAATACCAGTCACAACAATTCAGGAACTACTTGGCGGAAAGAGGAATCAGACGCCTGGTGTCTCTGCCCTACGCTCACCAGCAGCAGGGGGTCGCAGAAAGAATGAACCGGACCTTGCAGACGACGACGTTGAAGCTACTCCTGGGGATGAGACTACCCAACACACTGTGGCCAGATGCGATGACCCATGCAGTCCACCTGCACAACTTGTTATCCTCGTCCTCGCTTCCCAACAACGCATCACCGCACCTGCTGTGGACACAAAAAAGGGGCAGCACAAAATTACTTCGGGTTTTCGGCTGCATGGTACAATACAGACCCCACACAGCCCGAGCAGGACGCTTCACTCAACGAGCACGGTGGGGACTACACCTCGGCATTGCCAAACATTTCCAAGCATGGAAAATCCACGACACACAAGACAAAAATACCGTGGCGTCACGTGATGTAATTTTCTACGAACGACTGACGCTGCAGCATTACCTGGACAACGTCGCCAACACAGACAACCCCACCGACAGCTTCGCGGGCCTTCGCTCCTTCGCTGACTGTGCTGCCGAGGCTGACGCAGCAGAAGAAGACGTACCTGGAGCTTCGGAAGCTGCCGGACCACTCCCCTATTGTTCCGTGCCTGTTCCACTCGACGACGACAATCCTCTCGATAGCACCAACCTTGACACCCTTTACCACTTCGCTGACCAAGGTTACGTTACACCTCACACGGTCAACACGAATGTCTCAGAAAGCATCGGCCCAAACTTCTTACCTGATCCAGAAGATGGTGACGAAGCAACCTATTCCGGGAATGAAAATTAACCTCGACACACACACACGTGTGAGAGTACGACCCCGTTACACCAATTTCCCCTTTCCATATTTCCTTTCTATTTCATTCCTCTTTTTATCCTGATTCATTTGGTCTTTATCCCATCTCATTTGGTTTCCTATTCCTCCTTTTCCATTATCCTTTGGTTTATCCTGTTATTCTAATTATATCACCGACCAGGCTCGGGATGTACTGGCGCGCTATATGTAGCTTAATCCTGCCGTAATCCCTTAAAGCCAATAGCCTTGCGTGGCTATACGCATGGTGATTCTATTTCTAGAAGGGTCTATTTTCTTTGGATAGGATAAACCTGGTTACCTGATGTACTATGAAAGTATAAAAGCACCTTGTACTGATTGATAGTGCAACATTGAGCAAACCTTTCCTCGACACATTCGATCCTGTGACAACACGGGACTGTAGATACTCGGCTTATGGGTCTCCGTCCAGCACCCGCCGCCGCCGTCTCCGCGCGAGCCAACGACTCTGTCGCAGGCTTTGGGGGGGGAACATAAGGCGAAATGGAAGGAGGCAATGGAAAAGGAACTGAAAGCTCTGCAAGACCGAAATACATGGAAGCTGGTTCCTGCAACGAACATCAACAGGAAGAACGTACTCTCGGGAAAGTGGGTGTACCGCATCAAGACTAATGCGGACGGCTCCATCGAACGATTCAAGGCTCGCTGGGTCATACGAGGATTCGATCAACGATACGGAACCGATTACACAGAAACATTCGCCCCAGTCTCCCGTCACACCTCCTTGCGCATTCTTCTCCCCGTCGCGGCCACGAAGAAACTACCACTGCGCCAGATCGACGTCGCAAACGCCTTTCTGTACGCACCTGTGGACGCCGAGATCTTCGTCGAGCAGCCCCACGGATTCATCGCAAAAGTATGCCAGCTGATAAAATCCCTCTACGGGATCAAGCAAGCTCCGCGGCTTTGGCAGCAGCATCTTCACGGCCGCCTCGTCAGAATCGGGTTCCTACAGCTGCCGCACGACCAAGTCATGTACCGACTACAGAAAGAATGAGGTTTTATCCTAGTCATCGTCTACGTCGACGACCTGCTCTACATCGGCTCCACTACCGACATCGCCACCTGGCTCGAAGGGGAGCTGAGAAGTGACTTGACACTCACGGTGTCTGACACCGTGACCCAGTCCCTGGGTCTGAACGTCGTCGAAGACAACTCGACGTTCTACCTATATGCTGGAAAATACGCAGGCGTTGTCGCGAAGAAATTCGGACTAACACCGACTACAGTCACGACTCCCTACCGCTATAGGAACAACAACGACACCTCCGCAAAACTCCCCGTGAAGCAAATCCAGGAGTATCAGCAGAAGCTCGGCTGCCTACTATTCACAGCAGTAACCTGCCGACCTGACCTATCTTACAGCGCGAGCCAACTGGCGACGCATCTGAAGCAGCCGGAACAAGAAGATCTCGAGGAACTAAATCGGGCACTACTCTACTTCGTCTCTACGCCGACGACCGGACTTACCTACAGTAAAGTAACGACATCGTCCGTACAACTACTCGGATACGTCGACGCCGACCACGCGGGAGACAGGGAAAATCGACGCTCAAGGACGGGCTACATCTACCGACTAGAGCCTATCGGGACTATCTCCTGGCAGTCGAGCAAACATGAACTAATCGCACTATCTTCGGCTGAAGCAAAATATATCGCCCTCTGCACTGCGACCAAGGAAGGACTTTACCTGCGAGAGTTACTCGAGGAAGCAAAGATTGCGACCCTGCCCGTCTTCTCACTCCTCTGCGACAACCAATCTGCGATCAAAATCGCGAACAAGGACGGTTTCGCCAACCGAACCAAGCACATCGCCCTGCGGTATTTCTTGGTCAAAGATGAAATCGCGAAGGGGAGACTTCAACTCGGTTACTGCCCCACGATAGAAATGGCTGCAGACTACCTGACAAAGAAGCTAGCGAAAGCAAAGTTCGATTACTGCATGCTACTGACCTGGCAGATAAACATCACCGAATCCGGACACAGCAGCACTCTAGAAACGAAGGGGAGTGCTGGAAATATCTCGAGGACTTAAGCTTTTCTGAAGTGCAACACCACACTCGAGGAAGATCGTAACGGGTACGCGAGTCAACGGAGGTTACACAAGGGGGTGGACAAAGAACACGAAAGGACTCGAAGGGTTGCAACCGGAGGTTGCGACCGACCGTTACAACTGCAAGGATGGTAACCGAAGCGACAATCGAGTCGCTGTGCGACTCGATAACCGCCCTTTCAACTGTATTCTACAACTGCTTTACTTTCCTACTTTCTATATATTGCTGTATGCTTGTTCTTTTAATCAATCACTTGTTCTCACATACTAGTACAAGGGTTCAACTACTCAACTTCCGCTGCACTACTCAAGTCTCCTTTTACAACTGGACTTAGTCTCTGGAAAGATCCTAAGGGCTATTTTTCAGCCCAACACGTATAATGCTGGAAAGATGTGGAGGAAGGGTTCTAGTGTTAGAATAGCAAAATGTCTAGAAACAAGTGAGAACAAGAGAGATATAGGGTTGGAGTTGTACCCTCTAAGAACACAAACCTATCTAGCTTAAAACTTCTACATACAAATATATGTATGAGTTGACACCGGGGCTCCCGTTATCAGACCAAATCGGTTTGATGGTCTGAAAATCAGACCGGGTTTTTATGTTTCATCTGATTTTTTTACGAGCCAAATACATTCGTCGGATCGTTCAGACAAGTTATAAGAATTCGTCTGAAACATCAGACTAGGTATACACTTTCATCTGATTTATCAGACCGGCCGTTTTTTTCCGTCTGATACCGACAAATCCGCCCTTCTAGCAGCAGGGCCACTAGTCCACATGCCCACTAGGCCACTGCCAGCCGCCCAGTCCCATGTGCACCGCAGCACGCGCATTCAATTTTACCCCGAGCGCGGCAGCAAAACAGTCCAGCGCACATCTATTTTCAGCTTGCTGACGCAAGCTGCTGCCACGCCACTGTTTTGTTACGGGCACCGTCGCTGCCAGCCAGGTTCCAAGCAAGCAGCGCTGGGCAGCAATGTGCCAGCGCATTTCCCGATGAAACCGCAAGCCACCCTTGTCGTGCCATCACGACGAGGGTTTCGTATTGAATCTGCAACCCCAAGCCGCTCTTCTTCGAGCCGCCATGGTGAACAATCAGCCCACAGAAGCCCCCAATCTCAGACCACCACGTCTCAGAGAACCACTCTTTGCAGCCATGAGTGCTCTCTCTGGTGTCCTCGTCCTCCCCTCGTCCTAGTGCTTCATTCTTGGCTGGCTCTCCCACCTAGTTCCTGCTCATATCGTGTGTCTCATCTTATGGCCTTAGAGGAGGTTAATGCTAACCCTCCTAAAGATGCTGCACCATCGACGGTTATGGGGCTAGACCTGCTTCGGTCCCGACCCGCGCCGCCTCCCCTTAACACTAAGCCGCATCAGAGGCGTATGCCCGTCGAGCCTACTGTGCCTGTCAAACCCGCACCGCCTCCTTCCGCTACTCGACATATGACTAGTCATCAAGAGGAAGTACATCCAGCGCAAACTCAGCTTCGGTCGGCATGCATGCGCCTCCACTCCAGCTAATCCTATCCAGCTCGGCAGCAGCAGCGGCGATCCTGGTCCCAGCTCCCCGCCGTCCGACGACGACGGGCCATTCTTCCTGACGGTGGAGGAGCTCCAACTCAAAGCGAGGGAGTAGTGGTTACGCCACTTTCCATGGTTGGTGATTTCCGAGACGAAGGAGGGTCGCCCTTGCATGAAGTGCAGCGTCTGCATGGCGTTTGGCGACGACCCCGACTATCAGTACGGCCGCAACGGTGAGGGCGGCATCGATATTCAGAAGCAAACAATGCGTAAGCATCATCACAGTTTGAAGCATGAGGCTGCCGTGGCAAAGAAACTGCAGCGCGGCGGGAAGATGAAGAAGCAGAATTCGATCGTCGACTTTGAGAACGGTGACAATGAGGCTCGACGACTCAAGCGGCTCATGGCCATCGTGCTTTTTGTTTGCAAGTCGGATGCACCTATCGTTCTGTTCATTTCCCTTGTCCAGTTCATGGCAGAAAAGGGGAAACCTGATCTGCCCTTGAAGGAACGAGGAACCTACCAGAGCGAGTAAGTGTCCTACGTTTTTAAGGCGAAGCCCTCCTCATCCGAGTTCCTCATTTGTCGTTTATGATATTTGTTTGAACTTACTGTCTCTATTTGCGTTACTCCTTCCCTATGCCCTCCGGTGTTACCCGAATGGCAGGTATGGCTTCATCCAGCTCGTCGAGAACCTAGTGGCTTACCTGCGGGCAAAGCAGATGGTCCATATCAAGGCGAGCCCCTTTCTTGGGATCCAACTCAACGAAAGTAAGGACCGGCGTCGAGGGAAGCACATGATCGTTTACCTTACCTTCCTGCGCGGTACGGAGGTCGCCACGGAGTTCTTTGCGCACCTCACGGTGGAGAAGTGCGATGCCGCCTCCCTGCAAGCCATGCTTCTGAATCAGCTGGAGTCATGTGGGGTCGACCTCAATAAGATCTGTGGAATCAGCACCGACGGCGCCAGCGTGATGACGGGAGCGCAGTTGGGCCTTGTCGCCCGTCTTTGCACTCGGATTCCGCATCTAGTATCATGCCATTGCATTGCTCATAGGTAGCCATTCGCACTCCACCCATCTTTTATCATGCTGTTTCTCCGCGCTTTGTTAATCATCCCTCCGTGGCCATGCATGCAGGGAGGCCCTAGCCGCTAAGGACGCGGCAGCGGACTTTCCTGATCTAGCTGTGGTTGACAAGGTGGTCCGCTCCTTGGCGGATATCCTCGGCCGTTCGATCGTCGTCCACAACTACTTCAAGCAGCTGCAGGAGGTGGTGACCGAGACCAACCTCGAGATGCAGGGGATCCATCAGATCCGCTGGCTTTCTCGGGGTGAGGCCATTCAGCGGCTGGTCGAGGTCTTCCCAGCTGCTATCCTCTTGCTGCGGGAGTATGATAGTCAGATGTATGCTGTTGTCACTAGCCTGAAGTTCCACTTCCTTCTGTACTTCCTGGCTGACATCCTCGCGGAGCTCAACGTATTGAATCTGAAGTTCCAGCGTCGACAGGTGCGTCCTTCTTAGCATGATTTCTGTTTACATGCCCGAATACTTTATAATGTTTGCTTTCTCTTTGTTTGCACCCCTCCCCCAGGTCAACGTGACGCAATTTCCTCTTCGTTAAACATCCGGGCAATTTTTTCCGCCACTGTATTGCTGTATACTTGTTTCTTTTAATCAATCACTTGCTCTCACATACTAGTGCAAGGGTTCAACTACTCAACACTTCCGCTGCACTACTCAAGCATTTCATACAAGTGGGACTTAGTCTCTGAAAAGATCCTAGGGCTTTTCTCAGCCCAACAGAGGCAAATTGTACCTGTTTGCCCACAATCCTGAAAATTTGGCGAAGTCACCAAAGGCCAGAGAGACTTCGCCCACACACCCTGCAACCTACAAAAATTGGCCAAGTCCTGTTGTACAGACATCCCCCCACACACCAAGCAACCTACAAGTACAATATCCGTTCACTCCTCGTGTACAGACGTTCCCCCTCACACACCAAACAAAAAAAAACAATCGGCTAAGTCCTAGTACTATACAGACGTTCCCCCTCCCACACTCCCACAACCCCCCAAAATTTGCCTCAACGGCATCCCCTAATACCCACGATTGCTTTGCCTCTAGACGCGGGAGAGATGTAACAGCTACTTTCTAGCAGCAGCCAATCCATTAGGGGATTTTTTGCTAGTTGCCCGTGTGGTCAACTGAGATTCCATCCGCCTAGCCATACTCGCGACAGAATTCTGATTTTTGTTTTTGTCAAGCACTGACAAAACCCCCGAGCTCTCCACTGGATGCATTAAAGCGCCGATCCCAAAACCCCCAAAGTCAAAAACTTAGGTTTTGAGAGGGGAGTTGGGCGAAATTCGCGAGACTTACGAAACGCAGCAAAGGAAGTGGGTTGGACGCGAGGGGCAATGAACGCCTCTCGAAAAAAGCCCCACATCGCGTGGCATGAGCATGCAGAGTTTTCTCTGATGAAGGCCTCTCGAACAAAGCCCCACATCGCCGTGTTGGACTTGATGGCTCTGGAGGTTGGTGCCCTCGCGAATAAGGGCGTACGCACGTCCGTCGGAGCAGAAACGGTTTATCTTAGTCTCATCAGACCAAATCACCCGCTTCCAGTCCTCCAGTGTCCAGTCGGCATGCGCCCTTGCGAAATCGAGACGATCACGTATGTTTTCAGGTGAGAGCCTGGGTTTCTTGGGCTGCTGCACGGCGATCAAGCCCGCGGATCGTAACGAGTTCCTGACCGTCTTCGAGTCTACTGCCAGATCGTGCTTCTCCTTCAACATCTTTGCCACGTCTACACTGCTTTTTGCCTCGCCGCTTGTAATCGCCCGTACTATTCCGCGCTGGAGTCGGGTTGTGATTAAGCGGGGGCAGCCGGCCGTGGGCATCGTGGGTCGCACCTCATCGCGACTAGTCTCGGCAATCACTTTCAAACCGTAATCGTGCACGGTGCTCTTGCCTATGCCAAGAACTTTGGCTATTTTCCTAATTGAATGCCCTGCACGCAACATGCTTATGATTCGCCCGCGCTTCTTGTCATCTACCGGCTTCATGGCGATGCGGTCATAGGTTCGCTTCAGGACTAACTCCTAGACTAGCAGCTGTTGCGCGAGACGATGTGCATACCGAGTGACGAGCGAAAATAGATCTTGAACGTCGCTCGGTATGAACTGTCCGGAACGACAGTCGAGGAGTAAATCTCAACCCCGCTTTCCGGTTGTGTCACAATCGTGCCAAGCAAGATACGGTTGAAGCAGAACTCGACAACCTTGTAACAGGATGGGAAAAAAATGTGTTACTATTTTCGAAACAAGTGTTGCATATCGATACGGACAACACCATCCTCATCCTGCGCAGCCGGTACGTCACCTATGACTCGCAGTTCGGCCCGACCTCGGGCGACTTCTTCGAGTTTCTGCAACTTCACGCTGGCGGCAAGGACGTTACTATCTCAGGCACAGATGCAAACGGCACTCCTCTCATCCACACGTACCAGCTTCATGAGCGACCGATCGAAGGCCAACAAAACGGAGGGGACATGGAGTCACTCCAGAAGCTGGCAACTGCTGTAGTGTTGGCGATGATCGGCCATCTGCGCGGCCGATTCTACGACTTGTCCTCCCTCAACGGCACTCACCTCTACAAGCAGAGTTTGTATCCTCGAACCGCGTTCAGGCGCGAGCGTAAGTTCATGGAGTGGCTGTTGTCTCTGCGCAGCCTGTGGAAGCGCGACCCCACAGCCACTGACACCCTGCCCGGTAAGGCCGCTCCCTTGTCATCTCGTCTATAAGTGGCTGCTCTCTCGCGTGTATAACCCTGCTTTCCATTGTTGCCCATTCCCGACTTCTGTTTACCCACCCTTCCGCCGACCCCTCCCCCACCCTCAGGCGTCCATTGGGGCAAGGCCAGGAAGGAACTCACCAGCTTCACCATGATCATGTCAACACACCATGACGACCTCGACTTCCACGCTGTCCTAAAGCACATGCTCTCAAGCGACGACTGGAAGATGGCCTACCCCAACATTGTCCTTGTGTGGATTGCTGTCGCCGTGCTGCCTTTGAGTACGGCGGAGTGCGAACGCGGCTTCAGCCGACAGAATGTGTGATTAAGAGCTGGCTTCGCGGGAACCTCTGCGACGCGCGCCTGAGCGACCTGATGACCATCTCGCTGCTGGAGTACGAGATGGAGTGGGACGAACTGGTGACCATGTGGTGTGGGGGAGTCAAGAAGCGGCGCCCTGCCAAAGAAGTTGTGATGGCACAGGGCTCGAGGCCGACGAAGAAGCCGAAGAGGTCCGATGCAGTAAAAGCGGCAAAGGCAGCAGCAGCAGCAGCTCGAGAGGCAGAGGCATTGGCTGCTGTGGAAGCAGCACGTGTGTTTGAGGAGGATGCTGCAGCTGGCCCTGTGTGGAGGAGGAAGGGCAAGGGGAAGATGATTGCCATTGAATCTGACTCTGAGGAAGAGGAGGAGGCCCCTGTGGACAGCGACACCGACTCTGACTAAAGGCATCACCATGAGTAGCAAGCAGCCTCAGCAGCAGTAGCAGGCAGCCTCAGCAGCAACATTAGCGGCATTAGCAGGAGTAGCAGCAAAATCAGTGCTCTTAGGAGTAGTATTGGAAATATCTCAGCCCAACAAGTAGTTTGTGAGCTTAGTTGAGCTCACCTCTGCAATAGGCTGTTGTTGATTATTCCTGATATGGTAGTAGCTGATGATTATTCATTGTATGGTAGGAGCTGCAGTAGTCTAACATTTTGTCTGAATCGTAAGACAGGCAAAATAAATCCGTCTGACGGTCAGACGAAGCTCTAAGAACCCGTCTGATTTTCAGACTGCCCTAAAACTAGCAGGAGCCCTGGTTGACACATCCCCTGGGCTAGATAAGGGGCAGTGCTGAGCAAGAAACATGCAGCTCATGGAGGAACTACTAGTCCAACCTCTGAGGCAGGGGTCCGAAGACTAGTCAGTAAGAGTACAAACAAGAAAAGAGCAAACAAGGGCAGCACTACTAGTCCGACCACTAGAAGCAAAGCCACAAGGTCAGTCAGAAAGGTACATATAAAAAGAAGTACACAATCAAGGTCCTAGCAAGTGAGTAGCTCCACGAACTAGACCAAGCTGGAAATAGTGCCACTGATGATCGTTAGGTGCAAGCACCTTAGTAAAGATATCAGCTGTGTTGGCACTGGAGGCCAAGTGTACTACGCAAGCCTTGCACGCTGCTGTAGCTCGCACAGGAGGAAGTACCGCAACTAGATATGCTTCACTCTGCCCTCAAGTCGAGGCTCCTGACACAGGAGGATCATGGCCCTGTTGTCAACGTACAAAACCAGGGCAGAGCTAGGCCGCTCACCTAATTCGGTCAGCAAGAAGGTCAGCCAGCAGTGCTCCTGTGCCGCCATGGCATCGACGTAGATCTCAGCCTCACGGCTAGATTGGACAACAGACGATGAGCGAGTGGACCTCCACGAGATGGCACCCGAATCAATGATGAAACAGTAGCCCTTGAGGACCTGAGGGTCTTGACATTGTCTGCCCAAGAAACGTCTGTGTGCCCAATAAGGATCACTGGCATGCGTCCTCCCAGTACTAGCCCCATGCCCGATGTACTTGCTACATAACGCAAAACCCTCTTAGCGGCCGACCAGTGCTGGGGTCGGTGTCTGCCTGTGGCCACAAAGCGTACCAGGATGCTGAGAGGGTATGCGAGATCTGGACGAGTACAAGTCATCAGGTACATGAGGCAACCCACCAGCTCTGCGTAAGGATCATTGGGCTCTACTGACTCCTCAAAAACTGAAGCTGAGAGCCTGTGGTCTACTGGCAGAGGTGTGGGCTGTGCGGAGGAGAACTAAAGACCGAACCTCTGAAGGACCTGACACACCAAGTATGACTGTGAGAGTGTGATGGTGGGCGCTGCTCTGTCCCTGGAGTTCTACAGGCCAAGGTAGCGACGCAACTCTCCTAGGTCAGTACAGGTGTGTCTCCTCAGCAGCTCGGCCTTCATAGAGGCCAGTGTGTCTTTGTCTGCAGTAGCGAAGACCAGGTCGTCTACGTAGACAAGGATGTAGAACGGAGTCTGGCTAACACAAACAATGAGCGAGGGGTCTGCAGAGGACGGAAAGAAGTGCAGGTCAGCTAGCATCGCACGAAGCGTGTCGTGCCACTCACGGGGGTGCCTGTCGCAGGCCGTAGACCAGGCGCTGGAGGAGCCACTGGGTCCCAGGAGGGAAGGTTCCGGTGAAGCCCTGTGGACGGCGTAGGTAGACTAGCTCGTGTAGGCTACCCTGAAGAAAAGCATGTTAGGATTAAGGACGGAGTCTAGGTGAACTTAGGAGCTAGAATTACTCAAAATATAAATCCGAAATTCTGGACAGAAAAGTCGTCTTTACAAGAAACGACGTCGACGAAAAACTAGCCGTTGGAATGTCGCGAAACTTGGATATGTTGTAGCTCTTAATCTCAGCTACCGTTCCCAATTTGAATCACGTTGATTGATGAAGTATTCGCGACGCTATGGCTTTCGACGCATTAGGGGGTAAGCTGTAGGAGGAGAACTTAACTCAATCTCAAAGGTTCAATCAAAGTTCAAGAATCTCACAAGGAATTTGAGGAGCAAGAGAAAGGTTGGGATAGAAAGAGAGGGACGAGAGGGAAGGTCCCAAGAGAGTCCCCAACCAAGGAAACCCCATAAGCACAAAGATTCCCTCCCTATAGGAACCTCAACTTTGACCTTTGTCCCTTCCCAACCAATCCATCCAAGTTGGCCACCCTTGCCAACCTAGCTTGGTTGTTCCCAACCAATTTGCAGCTGTTACAGTAGAGTGACAAATTTCCCCAACCCCAAAGGTCCCAACTCCATATAGAGTCACCCCACAACTTCACTTTGTAACCGCCGCAATTGTAACGCAAGCTCATGAACTTTGAATCTTCATAGCTTTCGCGTTCTTGCTCCGATTGAAGCGATTCTTGTTGCGTCGGAAAGATCTTCTCAAGATCTATCATCAAAATACCTGCTCAAACAAAAATAACACAGAACACATTCCCAAACTCCAGAACACACCACACACAAATTCTTTCACATTCAAACCACACATGCAAGTTGAAAACATGGGATGGGAGGCAGACAGAATGTGATAGCATATGATGACATCACACAACAATCTCCCCCTCTGGCTGCCAACCATCATCGACCATACCACATCTCAAGCATGCATACTCAATGCACACTCATCCCAGCAAGCTTCATGCCCTTCCAATGATCCGCCTCCGCCAGACGCTTAGTGAAAATATCTGCTGCCTGCTGATGGGTCTTCACTATCTCCAGCCGCACCTCCTTATCAAGGATTCTCCTCACCCAATGCCACTTAGGCCTTATGTGTTTTGTCAGCCCATGCAGACAAGCATTCTTGGCGAGCTTCACAGCGGACTCATTGTCACAAAACACAACTGTCGGCTTCTCCTGACCAACTCCCAACTCCTCCAACAAACGCCTTAGCCACACTACTTCCTTGGCCCCATGGTGTAAGGCCATGTACTCAGTCTCACATGAAGACAATCCCACCTCATTCTGCTTCTTGCTGCGCCAGCTCACAGCACCACCTCCCAGCAAGCACACATAACCCCCAATGCTGGTGCCATCCGCTTTCACTGAGTTGAAGCTAGCGTCAGTATAGCAACTCAAGAGCATCTCACCACTCTTCACATCTGCAGCACCTCTCTGCAACCGCTGCCTCACTCCACTGTACTCCAATCCCACTGATGCCGTAGCACTCACATAGCGGACCAACCTCTTGGCCGCTTCCAGCTGCTCATGACTAGGACGTGAAACCACGCTAGCCAGTCGTGATGTAGCAAATGCAATGTCAGGCCGTGTATGATTTGCAGCATAATTCAGCGACCCAACCATCGAATGAAACAGCTTCCTGTCACTATCACCCACTACCTCCTCATCAGCACATGGCTCCACAGTAAACCCTGAAGGTAGTGGTGTTGCTGGCTTTCCCCCATCTTGCAGCCCATACTTCTCAGCCAGCCCCTCACAGTACTTCCTCTGGTGCAACCTCAGCACACCCTTTTCCACATCTCTCTCCACATGCATCCCCAAGTAGTACTTCGCCTCACCCATCTTGGAGCACTTGAACTGCATCTCCAGCATCTGCTCTGCGCTGTCCAGCAAAGCAGTTGATGCAGAAAAGAGAAGGATATCATCCACATACACCAAGAGCATGAGGATTTCGTCCTTCTCCTGCAGCAGGAACAGGCTGGGGTCACACTCACTCTTCTTGAAACCCCCAGCCAGCAGCGCCTCCTCCAACTTGTGATACCATGCACGAGGCGCCTGCTTAAGGCCATAGATGGCCTTCTTCAGCCTGCAGACCCTGCCGCTCCCATCATCCAGCCCCTCTGGCTGCTTCATGTACACCTCCTCCAGAATGATCCCATTCAGAAAGGCAGTCACAATGTCCATCTGCCGAATCTTCCATCCCAGGAGTGCAGCTATCGCCAACAGCACCCTCAATGTTGTTCCTTTCCCCACAGGAGCAAACACCTCATCATAGTCCTTCCCCTTTGTCTGCTGAAACCCCCGTGCCACAAGCCTAGACTTGTAGCGGGTCAGCTCCCCTTCAGGTCCATACTTGTGCCTGTAGATCATCTTGGAAGTGATTGCCTTCTTCCCAGGAGGCAAGTCACACAGGTCCCATGTCTCGTTTTCAATCAGGGACCCGAACTCCTCATCCTCACTCGCCTTCCACTTCTCCCCATTTGGTCCATTCAAGGCCTCCTCTCGAGTCTTGGGCTCAGGGATTGGTGCCCAGTAGCAGTGAGCGATCTCATCTTCCTCAATCTGCTCAACCACACTCCCAGCCTGCACCACATTTGGCTTGCCTCTTCCCCCATAGGTCAGCCTCACCGGAGGGCGCACATCCCTCCTAGGTCGCTCAGGCGGGTGTGGAACTCGAGATGGAGACTCATGCTGCTGCTGCTGCTGCTGCTCTACTTCAGCTGCTCCCCCTTCCTCAGTCACCCCAGACATCTCCTCCTCTGACACTGCAACCTCCACCTGTCTTGAAGGCTGCTGCACCTCATCTGCCTCCACAATGAGCGGTGTAGATGGAAGCTTCTGTTGCTGCTGCTTCCATTCCTTGTAGTACAGGGACTCAAGAAACTTCACATCCCTTGACACTGTCAACTTCTGGGTGGTCAAGTCCCATAGCAGCCACCCCTTGTGATCCTTTGCAATCCCCAAGTGCACACCCCATCTTCCAGAAGCCTCCAACTTCCCCCTTTTCTCCTTAGGCACATGAAACACCACCATGCACCCAAATGCCCTCAGCATGTTCACAGCTGGAGCACTCCCATACCACTTGACATATGGGATCCACTCCTTATCTCCAACTGTAGCCAGCACCCTGTTCTTCACAAGGGCGACCTGCCTCAGTGCAGACACCCAAAATGGATCAGGCAGCCCTGCACGCCCAAGGAGAGTGCGTGCCCCCTCCTGCAGGGTCCTGTTGAACCTCTCAGCCACGCCATTCTGCTGCGGGTTGTAGGGCACTGTCAGTTGATGCTGGATCCCCTTCCTCTTCAACTCCCCCTCAAAATCAGCTCCAATGAACTCCCCACCATTGTCACTGCGGATCACCTTCACCTTGTGTCCGCATTCCCTCTGAGCTCTAGGCATCCACTCCTTAAGGACAGCCGCTGCCACCTCCCCCTTGCTGTTCAAAGGGTAAACCCACACTGCCCGAGTGTGGTCATCCACAATTGTCAAGAAATAGCGGCTGCCTGAGAGGGAAGGGGCTCTTGTGGGCCCCACCACATCCATGTGCACAAGTGCAAGTGGGGTCTTGGCTGGTCCTGTAGTGCTGTTGAAGGGGAACTTGGAGAACTTGGTCTCCAAGCATGTAGGGCAGCTCCCAATCTCCTTCACTCCCCCTTTCACCTCCAAGCCCTTCAGGCTCCCATCCTTCACCAACTTCTGTAGCATAGGAAAGTTCACATGACACAGCCTCTCATGCCATGTCTCCCAATCGGCCTCTCCACTCCTTGATGAAGCCTTAGCCCATGCCGCACTCGTATCCACACCAGCAAGCACCTCACTATGTGTCTGCTGCTGCTGCACTTTCTTGACTGCTTCCAGGACCCCATCAATTGGTGCAGTTGCATCTCCTCCTGCTGTTGCCTTTGCCGCTGCTGCCGTTGCTGCTGTTGGAGTCTTCCCATTCCAAGGGATGATGGGCAGCTGCCACAGGTCCTTGATGCAGCTGGTCTCCTCTTCCAGACTCCACAGCACCTTCTTCCCAAGCTTAGCACGGCAGCTGGTTGGTCCAAAGGTCACTTCGGCCTTACTCTTCTGCAGTCGCCGCACAGAGAGAAGGTTAGCAGACAAACCTTCAACTAGCAGAACATTCCCAAGCCCCACAAGCTCCCCATTAGCTCCCTTAACCTTGGCATTTCCAACACCAATCACGGGGAGCAAAGCACCTGACGCTGCTGCCACATACTTAATCTTCCCAGGGGGTTTTACCTCATCAAGCAAATCTGCCCGTGGGGTCATGTGACTGGTGCAACCTGAATCAATCACCCAGTGCGTGAGAGGGTGCATCACAACCTTTCCCACAGATCCCACATCACCCTCATGCCCATGCACATCCTCAACCATGAGATACATCCCAGGATAGGCGTTACCTTGTGCACCTTCACCTTGTGCACCTGAGCCTTGCACAGCGCCACCTTGTGCGCGTTCACCACTTGGCGGCTTCATGCCTGGAGGTGACCATCCCTCCAGCCTGCTGAAGCACTTGAACCAAGGATGCCCGACCTTCTTGCAGTACCAGCAGGTGCCCTCCATTCTGGTACTCCCCCTGCCACTGGAGCTCCCATGCCCCTCATTATAGTCACCTCGGCCTCTACCTCTGCCAAAGCTTCTCCCACGGCCTCGGCCTTTCCAACCCCCTCTTCCTTTGCCGCGCCCTGCAGCTCCATACCCCTCAGCAGTCTTAGTGGCAGCACCGCCTCCCACATGGCGTCTGCGGAAGTCCTCCTGCAGAATCTGCTGCCTTAGCCACTCAGGTGTCCATTGATCTTGCTGAGAGTTGAGGGTGGGGATGAGGTTGTCCCAAGAGTTGTCCAACACCGAGATGATCTTGGTGCACTGCTGCAGCTGAGATACACTGCTGCCCGCTGCTGCCATCCTTGCATAGGTGTTCTTGATCTTGTCAAGGACCGGCTTCACATCGTCCCCTGGTCGCATGGAGATGGCAGCAAGTTCCTTCTCGAGCACGATCACCATCGGGAGAGTGTTGGGCTGAATCACATCGCGTAGTAGTTTCCACGCCCTTGGACCCGAATCATCCGCTTCCACAAGATCCTTGATGTGCTCGAACATCTCCTTGTTGACCGATTGAAGGATGAGGTCGAAAAGCACCGCGCTTTTCTCAATCCACGGTTCGCGTGCTTCGCCTTCTTCTGGCATCTTCTCTTCCCCAACAGCAATCTTCAGTAGCTTGTAGCGTTTGAAGGCACTCCTCATCCGTCCGCTCCATTCCTCATAGTTGGAGCCATCCAAAGCTTCAACTTTTGATGGCGGCGGCTCACTTGTCTTCTCAGCTACAGCTCCTCTTCCATTAGCATCTCCTCCTCTCTCATTCATCTTCTCCTTGAGAAATGACGAATTTCAGCTCCCCTTTGCTGTCCACACTCAGCTCCCTCGATATTTTCACAAGTGTCGGCGTCCACGAAATTTCGGCAGAGTTTCCCCTTAGCGGAAGACACATCCAACCTTTAGAACACCACTTAGGCACACCCACAGGCCATGGTGGGTCTAGAAGGGTCTTCACACTTCTGTAGACTCCTCTCAATGTCCTTAATATCGCTCTGATACCACTTGTTAGGATTAAGGACGGAGTCTAGGTGAACTTAGGAGCTAGAATTACTCAAAATATAAATCCGAAATTCTGGACAGAAAAGTCGTCTTTACAAGAAACGACGTCGACGAAAAACTAGCCGTTGGAATGTCGCGAAACTTGGATATGTTGTAGCTCTTAATCTCAGCTACCGTTCCCAATTTGAATCACGTTGATTGATGAAGTATTCGCGACGCTATGGCTTTCGACGCATTAGGGGGTAAGCTGTAGGAGGAGAACTTAACTCAATCTCAAAGGTTCAATCAAAGTTCAAGAATCTCACAAGGAATTTGAGGAGCAAGAGAAAGGTTGGGATAGAAAGAGAGGGACGAGAGGGAAGGTCCCAAGAGAGTCCCCAACCAAGGAAACCCCATAAGCACAAAGATTCCCTCCCTATAGGAACCTCAACTTTGACCTTTGTCCCTTCCCAACCAATCCATCCAAGTTGGCCACCCTTGCCAACCTAGCTTGGTTGTTCCCAACCAATTTGCAGCTGTTACAGTAGAGTGACAAATTTCCCCAACCCCAAAGGTCCCAACTCCATATAGAGTCACCCCACAACTTCACTTTGTAACCGCCGCAATTGTAACGCAAGCTCATGAACTTTGAATCTTCATAGCTTTCGCGTTCTTGCTCCGATTGAAGCGATTCTTGTTGCGTCGGAAAGATCTTCTCAAGATCTATCATCAAAATACCTGCTCAAACAAAAATAACACAGAACACATTCCCAAACTCCAGAACACACCACACACAAATTCTTTCACATTCAAACCACACATGCAAGTTGAAAACATGGGATGGGAGGCAGACAGAATGTGATAGCATATGATGACATCACACAACAAAGCAGTGGAGAAACCGAGGGAGTGGAGCTCGTAGTCACGCTGTGCTGCTACGTATAGCAGCGCCCAAAGGGTAGTCATCTTTGGGGTCAGGGCGAAGGTCTGAAAGAATTCCACACCCTCATGCTGGCTGCAGCCTCTAGCCACGTAGCGTGCCTTGAACACAGGCGGCTCTCTAGGGGGGCGCTTCACCTTGAAGAGCCACCAACCGTCGACTACGTTCACCCCAGGGGGGGGAAATGCGTCGATGTAGGTGCCGGTGGATCTCTAGGATGCCATCTCCTGCTCCATGGCAGCTATCCACTGAGAGGCCCAGGGTTCCGAGACCGCCTCAGCGTAAGTGCGAGGGGTCGAGATGTCAAGGGCGTGTGGGTCACCCTCAGGGACTAGCAGCATGGAACAGAGATGGGGAGCGGCCTCAGACAGGAAAGCAAGCTCGTACTGCCTGTCCTCTAGAACGTGACTACCAAGGGCAGGAGCACCCCCAACGGACGGAGGAGAGACAGGGTAAGAGACTTGAGCAGTGGCGTAGTCAAGGCGGCACGCAGAGGCGAAGGCAGGGACAAGAGCGTCAATACTCGAGACAGGAAGAGATGGGTCAGTAACGAGGGAGGCAAGGACACGAAGAACAAGAGGACGGCGGCGGCGGCTGCAGCTGCGACGAAGGCTGCGTCCACTGCGACAACGAGTGTGACGGTGGAGGAGGAGATACTGGGGGAGAAACAGACAGCAAGAACTGCGCTGCGGGGCAACCAGAGTCAGCCGACTCCTCGACCGGGACAACCGACACGAGGGGAGTGACGTAAGACACACCAGATGGAGCAGGACAGTGAGGGAGGGGAGGAGGGGCTACTGGGGGAGTGGGAACCAGAAACAGGGGAGGAGAAACTGGGAGACCTCGGTGGGGAAAGCGGTGGTAAAAGGAGACAGACTCGTCGAAAGTGGTGTCACGGAGTGAAAGTAGCGGTGAGACGGCGGGTGGTAAAAGTGCCAGTCAAACGAATCAAGGGGGAAAGCGAGGAAGACACAGGGGACAGTGCGGGCAGTAAGCTTGTCCGTGCCAGAGGCACGAACGTGAGTGAGGCAGCCCCAGACGTGAAACGCAGACGCGTCACCAGGGAACCCGGTCCAAAGAAGGGTCGGCGAAACCTGCGGCCGTTGGGAGTGCGGCTAGAGGTTAAGCTGGTGAGCGGCTTAGAGAACGGCGAATGGCCACAGAAAATGGGGTGTAGCGGCATGAATCATCGAGGTACGGGCCACCTCCATGACCAAACCGATGCGTCGCTCAGCGACCCCATTCTGCTGCGCGGAGTCCGGTCGGGTGTACGACTGGGTGATGCCCTCCGCATGACAGAATTGTCCAAGCCGACCAGAAGCGAACTCGCCGCCATGGTTGGAGTGGAGACACAGCGCAGGGAGACCGCAGTGGAGGCGCGCAGCTATGACCCACGGGATAAGAATGCAGGCACGTTTGCCTTCCGCTCTAGGAGAAACACCGTGGTGTAGCATGTGTAGTTGTCGACGAGCACGAGAAACTAGCGCTTGCGACGCGGTCCGGGGACGGGGACATGCCCGAGACGTCCAGGTGCAGGGTCTGGAGGGGTGCGGTGGCAGGGCGAAGCGAGGAGGAGTGAGGAGCACCGTGCAGCTGGCCCTCGACGAAAGGCGTACACGGCGGCGCAGGCGAGGGAGGGAGGGCAGGAAGCGACATAGGGAGACCTACACTGACGGAAAGTATTGTCCACATGTTTGTGACTTAGAGGATTTTTGCCATTTTAGGGGATCATGGACACTAAGCCTTAATCTTCTGGTGTGCCTAGTGTATGTAGGTTGGGGTAAGGCTCTACGCCCATGCCTTACATCACACAAGTATAATGATGTTTACAACAAATACCAGAAAATAACAATCTTGGTACATGTGGACAATTATTGCCAGGCGCAAGCAGCAAATTACATCAACCCCAAACTAGTACCTAATCCACCGCCCTTTCGCCTTAATCACCGCCCTCACCCTCCTGGGCATGCGTTCCACCAAGAGGGTGCACACATCCGCCGGGATCTTCTCCCATTCCTCCTGCACCTGCTCCCAAAGGTCCAGCATACCAGTGGGAGGCTTATAAGGCTTTGCCAGCTGCCTCTTGAGATGAGCCCATAAATGCTCTATTGGGTTGAGGTCGGGTGAGGAAGACGGCCACTCTAGCACCCCAAAATCTTGCTCTCTAAGCCACTCCTGTATGATACGCAACTTGTGCTTCGGGTCGTTGTCGTGTTGGAAAATAGTTTCCGAGGGTGTAAGCTGGTAAAGCTCAATTGTACTGTTGAGATCGTCCTGCAGTATACTCAGCGAGAGCAGTCTGTCCATCCTACCATATGTTTTGCTTATGAAACCCGCTCCCTTTTACGACATGCAGTCGTAAATCATCAAGCAACCGCCCCCGTGTTTGACGGTCTGCTTGATTTGGTGTCTTTGGAGGGCAGTCCCTTTGTAAACGCAGGCGTATGAGAGTCCTTCGGATGCAAGACGACCGATCTTGGTCTCATCCGAACAGATCACTCGCTTCTAGTCGTCAGTCTGCGTGGGCACGCGCCCATTCCAGCCTATCGCGTGTCTTTTTTCCGAGAGTGTCGCGGCTTCTTGGGATGCTTGATTGCGACAAGTCCACTCCCATTCAAAGCGTTACGCAATGTCTTAGGATGCAACGTGATGCCGTGCTGCTTCTCAACGATTTTCGCCACGTGAGCGGAGATTTCTGCCTCCTCGCTGGTAATCGACCGAACTATGCCGCGGCGAACTCTCTCTGTCACTAAGCGAGGGCGACCGGCTGAGGGCATCGTAGGACGCACGTCATCGCGGCTAGACTCTACAATCGCCTTGATGGACCGAACTCTTCCCTATGCCTAGCTGTTTAGCGATTCAATGATTGCTATACCCCCTCCGCAACAAGGGAATGATCTATGCGTAGAGCGCCTCATCTAACGGTTTCATGACGGCCTAATTGTCGCAGCGGTCCTAGCCTATCTCCTGACTACTCGATAGTCGCAAGGGCAAGTAAGAAGAAATAGCGAGGTTAGGAAATAGATCTACTACGCTGCTTGGCTTGAACTGTCCGGATGCACCCACGCGAACGAAATCTCGTCCTCGGTAAAAAATCGACCCCTATAAAACTGAAACCAGCATCCGTCACATACAGTACACTACTACTTTACATCCAACCCCGAAATTTGATTCGTAACTAAACAAAGAAGGCACCAAACCAGTACGAGAATTGTTTTAAGGCAACTATCCGGGCAATACTTTCCGCCAGTGTAGGACGAGACCGTTTTGAGACATGTGACGCAGATGGGGGAGTGCGGGGTGACCTAGGCGGTGGTGCCACAGAAGCAACGGGTGAGTGAGCGACCGACACGAGCAAGGCGTAGCGACCAGGGTAGACGCAGGGCCCGGGGAGGACGCGCCAACTGGGGGGGAAGCAATGTCCAGCGTAAAAAGGCCAGACACGAGGTCCAGGGGGAACCTGAGGCAACCTCGGTACAGACAGCGTACCGCTCGTAACCAGCGAACGTTGTGGTGACGCCGAGGTCCTGAAGACAGCCGACACCAACTTTGTTCCTGGAGAACGAAGGGATGTACAGGCCTGTAAGCGAACCTGAGGGGACCGCTGGACAGGAAAGGGTAGTGTAGCTGTAAGCAACGATAGGGCCAGAAGAGGGGTCAGCAAGTGCGATGGCGGCAGGCGCGGCAAGCGGCGTGAGTGTGGCGTGGTGGCGGAAGAAGCAGGCAGACGCACCGGAGTCAAGTGTGAAGGACAGCGAAGTAGTAGCGGCATAGGAAGGAGGAGCGAGTGTGGAGCCTATGCTATATAAAGCAAACGGTCCTACGCTTGACGCAACAGGGGAGTCTGTACTACACACACTTGCTACGACTAAGCTAGAGAACACCGGGTACTATGATCCGGACACACTAGAAGCGTCAGCATACAGAGAATGTAGGGCAGAATTGATCTGATCCATGTCTAACTCAAAAACAGGCGCACCGTGGCACAGCAGACTGGGCCAGTCAAGGAGGTCTGGGGCCGGGCCGAAGCAGCGACGAAAGAGGTCGTCGAGGCGGCGGAAGCAGCGGGCGGTCGGGTGCGGGTGGCGGCACATAGTGCCACGGAGGGGCCCGATCTAGAGCTGGTACTGGCAGCTCACAGCACCGAAGCTGCCGGTAGATGCCAAGCTGCGAGGGCCGCCACCGCAGCCACCACCTCCAGAGGCTCCTGGCCACCCCAGCGGGAGGCGGGCCCACAGCTGCTGCTGGTGCTACGGCTGCTTCTGCGGCTGCTGCTGCTCCTGCTACTGCGACTGCTGCTGCTGCTCTTGGACACCAGCCCCAACCCCCTCGTCAGAACCACTGTCCCTGCCACCACCACTACCACCACTAGCACCACCACCACGCCCTCCCTTGGGACTATGACGGACTCGACGCAGGCGCTGCTGCGGGAACACCGCAGCTGCGGTCTCAGCGGCAGGGGCAGCCGTAGCGACCGCGGTGGAAATGTCAGCATACTAGCACTGGGAAGGAGCACGGCCCTGAAAGATAGGGACTGCTACAACACCGCTCGACTGAGCGATAGTGCGCTGGCGAGTCTCTATCTCAGACAGGGCAATGACAAAGGCGGTCAGGGTGAGGTCACCAGGGTGCTGGCTAACGAAGTGGTCGTGGGCAGTGGCTAAGCGGTCAGGCAGGCGCATGGCAATAAGGTACAGGGTAGCGCAGAACGGTGGAGGGAAGGCACTAAGCTGGGCGGCAATGCTAGCAGCGCTCTAGTCTCTAATGCACGGAGGTGAGTGGCGAGGTCAGCGATAGTGGGGAAAGTGGAAAGATCGGGGAATAGCGGGGAGGATCAAGCAGCCAGCAGAGGCGGAGTCGGGTGTGGAGTAGCGCGCAACTACTGCATCTAGGAAATCCTTGGCGTTCGCGACAGCAGTGAAGCGCGGATGCTCAGACAGGGGAAGAGCATGACTAATGGCGAACTGCGCTACAGCATCGCGGGAATCCCAGAGAGCGCAAACGAGCGCAGCATCATAAAACGCCTCACGCTCAGCAATGGTGGGGTCAGCAGGGAGGGGATCAGGCTCGGGGGGGCAGGGAAGCAAGCCATCAACATGCATAGCCAAGGAGTGCCCATCCTGGTGCTGACCTGTCAGGTGACGTCGAAGATCGATAAGCCAGGCAGCGAAGTCGATCGCGTGCCCCTTTGCATCTAGGCGAAGTTGATCGCGTGCCCCTTCGCATCTAGGCGGAGTACGGCATCCACGATCATGCAACCTCAGCGTCACAACTCCTTAGCGGGGCAGTGACACGGCGGCACAACAACACGGCAGCACAGCAACACGGTGGCACAGCAACACGGCAGCACAGCGACACGGCGGCACTGAGGCACAAGAACTCAGCGGCACGGGAACTCAGCGGCACGGCGGCACAGAAGCGTGGTGGCAGGACTCTCCGGCGGGAAGACCGGGCACAAGGCCAAGCAGGGCGCACAGGGCCTGAGGTGCGCAGTAGGCCGGCGAGGCGCGATGCGCCGCCAGGGCGCAAAGGGCCAACGGAGCGCTAGGGCCAGGTAGGCGCTCGAGGGGCTGGCGGGGTGTCTAGGGCCGATGAGGCACTAAGGGACGGCGAGGCGCTAAGGGCCGGTTACGTGCGAAGGGCCGGCGGGCACAGGAGGGGCCGGCGAGGTACACAAGGGGCTGGCGAGAGCGAAGGGCCAGCGAGGCGCGCGAGGGGCCGGCCGGGTGCGTGAAGGGCCGGCGGGCACGGGAGGGGCCGGCGGGGTACGCGAGGGGCCGGCGAGCTCGAAGGGCTGGCGAAGCGCGCAAGGGGCCGGCCGGGTGCGTGAGGGGCTGGCAGGGTACGCGAGGGGCCGGCGAGGTGCGAAGGGCCGGCAAGGTACGCGAGGAGCAGGCGGGGTATGCGAGGGGCAGGCGGGCACGCGAGGGGCCAGCGGGGCGCTGAGGGCTGGCAAGGCGCGCTAGGGGCCGGCGGGGTACGCGAGGGGCCGGTGCTGCGCTAAGGGCCGGCGGGGCGCTAAGGGCCGGCGGGCACGCTAGGGGCCGGCGGGGCGCTAGGGGCCGGCGGGGCGGTAGGGGCCGGCGAGGCGCTAGGGGCCGGTGGGGCACGGTAAGGCTAGGGTACGACGGACCGGTAGGCTAGGGCAAGGGGCGGAAGCGGGTGGGCGGACCTAACCTACTATGATACCATGTTAGAATAGCAGAATGTCTAGAAACAAATGAGAACAAGAGAGATATAGGGTTGGATTTGTACGCTCTAAGAACACAAACCTATCTAGCCTATAACTTCTACATACGAATATATGTATAATTTGACATCTAGGAGGTTCGAGAATTGAGAGCTTGGTGAGTACAAAACCCTCTAAATACATATATGCCTAATGCATTTCCACGTTACTTGTTAGGAATTTTCCATTCCTTACCGAGCAGTACTGCTATCGCATACGCTCGAACACACCCGAAGCCTTGGGTCGGTTCCGGATCTTTCTGACAGAACCGCCTCGGCATTTCCATACCTTCCAGTAAGACCTTCGGGAGTTCTCCGGGCCTCGCTTCATCACTTCGAATGCTTTCGATCTCCTTCCCGAACCTTCACATCTCACAGTTAGACTAGCTCTGGTCTTCCTGTATCTTGGCTTGCCATTCCTCGTATTGTCATTCAGTCATTCAACACTTCGATATTCATTTCCGAGCTACTCTGTCTGTTCATTCATAGCATCTGGTATTCAGAGCTACTTTCCTCGCTCACCCGTTTCCGTGAGTTTATTTTTTTGGGGGGGGTGTAAGTCCCTCATTTAAGCTGCAAAGCGGTTGCTCGCGAATTAGACTGCTTAATTCGCCCAACTACGATAGCGTTTGCACTTACCTGAGTATAGGCACACTATGGATTTCCCCTTGCACCGGCGGAGCATTCGCCAAATGGACCAAGCTCAGTTCAACGAGCATTAGGAACACTTCAACGCCATGAATGCGCGCATGGCTACAGTGCTGGAGGACACCGAGCGACTTTGTGTAGAAGTTGTTGAGTTACGCTAGCCGCGAGAGGAATTGCACCAGAAAGTTGCCGCCCAGGAGGAGGTCGCCAGCACCGGACGTGTCGAAATCGTCTTGGACGAAATCGCACGTGAGGTGTCTCAGGAGCGCAAGGACAAAGAAGTCACCGCAGCAGTTGACGTGGCAGCACGTGCAGCAGCCGAAGCAGCAGTAGCAGCAGCGACAGCAGTAGCCGCACGGCCAGAAGCAGCTGTTACTGTAGCTGCACCGGCAGTCGTGCCGATCGCGACGACAACGACAATCAAACTGACAATACCGCCCCCGTTCAACCCCACAGATAAATATACGACTGTTATTGGTCGGTTGTTTTCGGCAAAATTTGACTGACTGTATCACTACTGCGGAGACCTGCGCTAGATTGGTGGCGATATACCCTATATGAGCAGGGGTTTTCTGCTGGCGACACATAAGGATTTTTTATGAAACTTTGGGTATGCTGCCCAAGGGTCAATCGCGATTTTCGTAACGACCAGAATTCGCCAGTGGAAGGTGTCGAATACAGCTCTGCGTAAAATATTCGAGCCCATTTCCCCCTCAGACAATGCACGCATAAAGCTGGACAACTGGCGCCAGTACAGTTCTGTCCAAGATTATGCGTCAGTCTTCATGACGTTATGTGATCAAATCACTGACATGCACGACTCCGAGAAGAAGGCTTGATTCATTTCAGGGATGAAGCAGGACATCAAGTGTGAGGTTTGCTGGCGACGTTTCACGAAGCCGTTCGGATCGCAGACAATTTCGACGCGCATCGGACGTATGTGAGAGCGGGTTCCCGGGAGGGAAATCGTTTTCGCGGCCAGGATCCACGGCTCACTGTTCACGGCGTAGTGGCGAAGGAGCAGATGGAAGATTTTCGCAAGGGACAATGTTTCAACTGCCACCAGCCGGGTCACCAATCTCACGAATGCCCCCGAACGAAGAAGATAAAGAAGAACAATGAGGGCAGGTCGGGAAACACCAAGCGTCAGTAGCGGTCGGGCCCCCTACTGACCCTGCCTCATCACCTGAAAAGCACCATCCCCACCGGGTGGTAGTTTCGATACATGCTATCAACTGCTCTCGGATGACAAAGGGGGATAACATAGTGGACCACCCTATGCTGGCGGAAGGATGACTCAATGGACGAAAAAATAAAATATGTATCGACGGAGGTGCGAGTTACTTCTTGATAAATCGGGAGACAGCACGATGACTACTCTTATCATTGGAGCGGTGTCTTCCCGAAATTGATGCGCGACTGGTGGACAGCACCCCGCCGGCGATAAGCGACAAAGTACCAGTTGTTCGCATGAAGTGTGGCAAAAAATTCGGCTTCAGCGCGCTGATTCTAGCGACAACAATCGATGGCTACGATGTGCTGTTGGGACGCGATTGGCTGCAGCGATTCAACCCGCAGATCGATTGGACGACATATGAGTGCCTCAACCAAGCGGTCAAGAATGGAGCAAAATTATACGCATCCATCTAAATGAATCGACGGACCATAAGGAGGTGATCGACGTCAACAAACTCGGCTCTTCGGTCAGGGATGACTTGGAAAAAATCATTCGGGAATATCCCAGGATTTTTCCGGATGACTTGCCAAGTGGACTGCCACTCGAACGACCTCAGGACCACAAAATCGAGCTAGAGCCTGGCACATAGCCTACTGTACAAACTCAATGGTGCCTAAATCAACCCAAGCTACATGAATTACGGAACCAGATGGACTACCTGCTGGCAAAAGGGTTTATTCGGCCAAGCACGTCCCCGTTTGCCGCACCGATGCTGTTCACCCCAAAGAAGGATGGCAGAATTCGCATGTATATGGACTATCGTGCCCTTAATTGGGTAACGATAAAATCGCGCTACCCAATCCCACGCACGGATGAACTGATTGACAACCTTTATGGAGCTCGCTATTTTTCGAAGATCGACCTTCGCTGCGGTTGCCATCAAATTCGGGTGTTCGCTGACGACTACCACAAGACCATGTTTCATACTTGCTACGGGAGTTATTAATACACGGTGATGCCGTTTGGATTAACGAGCGCCCCCTCAACGTTCCAGCTCACCATGAACGGGGTGTTCCACGATCTACTCGACAAATGAGTAATAATTTACTTGGATGACATCCTAATCCACGGCAAGACAAGAGAGCAGTATTCAAAAAATAAAGAAAGCAGTTTTCCAGCGGCTGCAGCACAACCGTCTCATCCCCAAGGGCTCCAAGTGCGAGAATTTAAAACAAGAACTGGAATTCCTGGGGCACGTGATCTCAACGGACCTGAAAAAACGTCAGGCTACTCAGGAGTGGAAGTCGCCGACCAACATGCAACCGCTGCAATCTTTTCTGGATTTTTTTTTATACATGCGATGGTTTATACGCAACATGGCGGGGTTCACTGGACCTCTAACCAACCTACTGCAAAAGGGGACTTTTTACGAGTGGGAAGAGAAGCAGCAAGCTGCGTTCGAGGCATTAAGAACTCTTTTAGTGTCACCACCAGTTCTTTGCATCGCTAACCCACAACATCTCTTCAAAGTTGTGACAGACGCAGGTCACATCACCATCGGAGCAGTGCTCATGCAAGATTTTGGCAATGGTCTTCAACCAATCGCGTACGAGTCTAAAAAAATGCAACTTACTGAGAGCAACTATCCGGTACACGACAAGGAGATGCTAGCGATTGTCCACGCGTTCAAAATCTGGAGGTGCTACCTAACTGGAGCAGACGTGATAGTGAAAATCAACCATAAATCTTTATAGTACCTGAGGGCGCAACCGAATCTCAACCCGCGACAGAGTCGTTGGCTGGACTATCTGGAGTCGAACTTCACGTATAAGGTCATATACAAAAAGGGAGCCAACAATATTGTTGACGCCCTCTCCAGACCGTCTACCCAACTCGCAGCTGTACTACTCACCCAGAGCAACCCGCTACTGAGTTGACTATTTACCCACGGTTATTCAACCGACCCCTTCTTCGAAAATAACGGCCATCTCCAAATCACGACACGGAAAGGCGTCTATTACTTACGAAGCGGGACGAATCAAATTTGGATCCCAATTTATCGTATACTTAGCGAATTCCTAATTCAAGAAGTCCACGATTCGAATTTATCGGAACATTTCGGAGTTGATAAAACTCTGAAGGCGTTGCAACGGTTTTATTACGAGCCAGATATGGTGACGGGCGTGCAGCGTTACGTGGCCGCGTGTCCGATCTGCCAGCGAATAAAATCATCACACCAGCGATCGACAGGACTGTTGTAGCCCCTCAAGCCACCTCAACGCCCATGGCAACACGTGCCGATGGATTTTGTCATAGGTCCGCCGACCGGATCTAGCGAAAATGATGTAGTGTTGGTTGTCGTCGACCGATTGACGAAAATGGTGCATGTTGCACAATGTCACACGACAATCACGACCGGAGAAATAGCGCGATTGTTCATCTCGGCCATTGTTCGACTACACGAGATACCAGCAGCAATCATTAGCGCTCGATACCCGAAGTTCACGTCGAAGTTTTAGCAAGACACGTGGGCTCGGTACAGCACGCGCCTGCAATTCTCATCCGCTTATCACATGCAAACAGATGGCCAGACAGAGAGGACAAACCAAACAATGGAGCAGCTGATACGGACAAACTGCTCCGACCGAAACAAGTGGGAGGACGTGCTACCCATGTTGGAATTTTCCTACGATAACGCGCCCTCGGCGACGACTAATCACTCCCCGTTTTAGCTCAATTACAGGATGGATGCGAGAGTGCCTGTCTCCACCAAAGTTGAGAGTCGAATACCACGGTCGCAACAGTTTGTAGAAGAATTACAGACTTCCTGGGACAAAGTTGTCGAAATTATTCGCAAGGCTAATGCCATTGCTCGACCGTATGCGGATTTACATCAACGTGATATTACCATGGCAGCAGGCCAACTAGTCCTTCTGGGCACCAAGAATTTATGACAGCCCCTACCCACAAAATTACGACCACGTTTTTATGGCCCGTTCAAGATCATGAGGATGGTCACGCCAGTGACCGCCCAGTTGCGCATACCCGAAGATTGGCGTATTCACAACACGTTCACGTGAGCCTGTTGCGACCATTAGTACCTGACACGTCGGACATCACTCGGCAGCGATGTTGAAGTATACTCGACAGAGTTTACTTATGCATTCCTGATATAACACCTAGACTGTACTAGTAGCGCAATACCTCATATGGAAGGACGCGCGTGATGATGTCAGCACTAGCGAGTCAACGCGTGAACAGTAGGTTCGCGCGTGTAGTCAACCCAAGGGTCACGCCACTCTCAGTCACATGAACAGTCACTAAGTCATGTCACTACGAACAAATACATTCTAATAGGTACTTCCTAGACTATAAATATGCCTATATTGCTCATTATTATTATCCTTGTCATTTCAGACATTTCCAAAACAAGGTGTGAAGCCTTCTGCTGACTTTTACTCGTGGTTCCACCAAATCTAGACCTTGGCCACCCTAAACACGTGGTTCACTTCAATATGGTATTGTGAGCTGGTAGAGTTACACGAACCGATACAGCTGATTTCGATTACGCCGTTAAGCTTAGTCATAGATCTATAATTATGTCAGCTGCTAAGGCAAGAAATTCAACTACGAATTCTCCTACTTCTGATCTTTCTACTGACGATCTATCTTACTTCACTTCCTTGATGACTAATCAGTCTACTCAGCAACAACAACAAGCTCCAACGCATCCTACAGTTTCTATGAGCCTTGTTAACTCTAGTCATGCAAGAGCTGCTATTGCCGCTGGACCTTTAGCCCCTAGAGATGAATCTGCTGGGTCTTTTGCCTTCCATGGGTGACCTCCTCAAACACAGCAACAACAACAACAACCACAGCAGCAACATTATCAAATGGCAGAAGAAAGACCATTTGTTGCAGAAACTGTCGTAAATCAAGCGGATTTTCTAACTATCTCCAAGCTGAAAACCTCAACTTACTTTGATGGACGCGACTTCTATACTAAGGGATTCGAGTTCGAACTCCTCTCGCAATCTTCTGGTAGCTGGGGATATTTCGACGGTTCAATCCGTTATCCAGAGAGAGGAACGACAGAAGAACAGGCGCGTTATTACAAGTATTTGCTTATGGCCTATACACTACTGGTGCGGAATCTCTCACCTGAAGAGCAGTTGGGAGTTCGGTGCTTCAAACCTTCACTCGCTCCAGCCTTCTACGCCAGGGACTACCTGCGAAATTTTGTGACACAGAGCAAGCTCTTAAGTCAACTTACATCAATGCAAATGCCTCCGGGAGAAAATGTCGGCAGCTACATCAACAGGTGCAGAACCCTTCAGGATCAGCTCAGCAAGTGCGGAGGAAATCTCAGCAATGAGCACTTCGTCACTATTCTTCTGGCTAGACTTGGACCCGAATGGAGGCAGTGCACGTCCCTTCTTCAATCCCAAGGGAACATCTCATAAACTTCTCTTTGTGCTACTCTGATGGCAGAACAGCAAGACTTGGACCTGTACATGAGTAAGCAAGGCAAAGCCAAGAGTGGATTAAGCTTCTATACAGATGGACCAAGTCCAGGGGAGCAGACAAGAGGTGCATCAAATCAATGGGAGCAGACAAGAAAATTAGGAAAGGGCTTCTGAAAGTTCTGCAAAGATTGTCAGAAACTGAAGAACAGGAATCGTGAAAAGTCGGGTGAAGCAGCCAATGTCAAGACTATCTCGCCGCGGTGTCAACTCTGTGCCAACGATTCATCTTTCGCCAGCCTTCTTCTCACACTCCGACTTGTACCTGCGTTCAAAGGGACACAGGACTACAGCAGAAATCTGGCACAAGCAGTTAGGTCATCCCTGCAAGAAGCTCTCAACAACTCCATTAAAGCCTCGGTTTTTTACAAGGATGCACTCCTTGTAACCAATGCCCAAGAGCTTCGACCAAACAGTCGCCAACTACCCTGCACCATCTGCCCCGGAGCTCACTTAAGTCACGCTCCGTTCCCGTCGCACTTTCCAAGTGCTACTATGTACTCACCTTTGGATGTAGTTTTCAATGACATAGTCTTCAAGCCGCAGGAAGCAAAGGATACCAGCGGCAACGACTACCGCTATATAATTACCTTCATTGACGGCGCTACTCAATACGTATGGCACAAGAATATCTCTCACAAGTCTGAAGCTCTAGACGCCTTCAAACCCTGGCTGAAAATCGCGGAGCGGCAGAGCGGCATCAAGCTGAAAGAGATCCAGACAGACAACGCGGACGAGTACACTAACAAGCAGTTTGATGAATTTCTGGCATGGAAAGGGATACTCAGGCGCAAGACTGTGCCTCATGCTCATCAACAAAATGGAGTAGCTGAGAGAACTAAAGAACGCTGCAAGAGAAGATGCGCATGAGGCACCCTACAGCTTGACAGCAGACTTCTGGCCGCTTGCAATGGCGCAAGCTGTCCGCCTACACAACTGCTTGTCTTCAACAGCTCTCCCTCAGTTCAGCTCGCCACATGTCATGTGGACAAACACCCCTTCGACACTCAACTATTACGAGTTTGGGGCTGTATGGTCCAATACATACCTTCGAGTGCAACTGTGGGCAGATTTACTGAACGGGCTCGATTGTGAGAGTACGACCCCGTTCCATTCCTTTCTCCTTTCCATCTTCCCTTTCATTCCTCTTTTTATCCTGATTCATTTGGTCTTTATCTCATTCCATTTGGATTCCTATTTCCTTTTTTCCAAAACCTTTGGTTTCTCCTGTTATTATCATTATATCACCGACCAGGCTCGGGATGTACCGGTACGCTATATCTAGCGTAATCCTACCGTAATCCCTTAAAGCCAATAGCCTTGCGTGGCTATACGCAGGGTGATTCTATTTTCTAAACGGGTCTATTCCCTTGGGATAAGATAAACCTGGTTACCTGATGTACTTTGGAAGTATAAAAGCGCCTTGTATCAATCGATAGTGCAACCTTTCCTCGACACATTCGATCCTGTGACACTTGGTAATAAGAGCTTTTCTCACTCGGCCGCGCTTAGCTAAGCAGCAGCAGCGGGGGATCCTGCCTCGAAAAACCGGTGGGGGCGACCAATTCAACGCCAATTCTGGTAAGCACCAGCTCCGCGTTCTTTCGAATTACACCCTCTGCGCGTGTTTTGAACAGGATGACGAACTTCGACAATGCCGAAGTTACCCAGCAGCTCTTCACAAGCATCGCCGCCCTACATGAGGAGATGCGAGCCGACCGCGAAGCATGGCGACAAGAGTTCGAGCAAATAACTCGACTTGTCGGCGCGCAACACGATTCAACAACGGCGACGACGCAGCAGTCGCAACAATTTCTCGAGGCTCGAAAACCGCGCCCACCTGAGCCGTTCGATACGAGCGATCAAAATTCCGAGGTCCGTAGATGGATCGCCGGCATGGAGATCAACTTCGCAGCCGTCGGATGGAACTCGCCAGTCTGGGACGGTCAACGCATACGACTCGCGGCGACACTGATGCCAGGGCCGACACTCGAGGGGATCGGCGGTAACAGCACCTTCATCCACGGCGAAGCCACGTGGGAGCAGTTCCGCACCAACCTGCTGAAACGTTTTGAGCCGATAAATTCGGGTTTCCTTGCCCGGGAAAAAAATCATCGCCATCGACAGTTCGGGAGTGTAGCGCAGTACACGCAGCAGATGGAGGAAGTTTATAACCATATTCCCGACTTGACCGAAGGGAAAAAGTACAATCGTACCTCGCCGGGCCGAAGACCGAAGTCAAACGACAAGTGGCAGCGACAAACTACACGAGCTACAGTGATGTCGTATCGGCCGCGGAACGCTTCGACATGGTCAACGCCGGGACACGATGGACGCATGTCGGCATTACGTGACAGGGCGACCGCTCGGCTCACCCCACGTTCGCCGACCCAATGGAAGTCGATAGGTTTGAAGGGCGGCCACGTCCAAAAAACACCAACTACACGTGTGATTTTTGTGGGGTGCCGGGTCATCGAGTCTTCGACTGCAACAAAATGGAAGCCGCATGCGCTGAGTATCAGGCACGCAACAGTGGCGGAAATCCTTCGGCCAATCAGAAGCTAAAAAACGGGTCTCGCCAGTGATTGCGGATCCAGCTGGCGAAAAAGAAAAGATCCGAAAGCACCCGCGGACTTCCAGTAAAATCAACTTCAACGCAGCTGATTCAACGCGAACATGAAAAAATGATGGGGAAAAATCTCCACCCCACGACCAGTCTTTGCCATAGGAAATCGCCGAGGAAAATTCTAACTCCACGAAAAAGGACTCTGCGAAGACGGGGAAACTCCTGGAAAGTTATAAGGATTCGTTAAAGTTATCTTATAAAGATGCTTTAATGAAAACTTGTAATTCTCGAGGGGCTAGAGCCTTGGAGAAAATTCGGGAAGGACTTCAAAAGAAGCAGAAAATTGTGGAGATCATACCGGTACCGGAGAACTTGGGGACCAAATTAAGGAGTGTGGAAAGAAGCCAACCTTTCCACGGAGTCAACGTCCTCTCCCAAGACCAGCCCACAGTGACTACCCATTCCCCAGGGAAGACGTCGGTGGAACTGAAGCACCTCAAGAGGAAGCTGGGGGTCTACAAGAAGCTGCAAAAACCCCGAACTCCTTCTTCGGATGCATCCAACTCGGCAACTTCGTCAACGACACGAACAGTCGTCACGAAAACTCCGGGCCCTGGAGAAAAGCCTTTCTGCATGCAGCCTCGGCCAGCTGCCAGCTCAGGAGTAGGAAGCAACGAATATTGAGATGTACCCTATGACCCAATCAATGAAACTATTTTTGGGTACTCCGAGCAACGCCTGCCCTTCGTGCTCGAGGTCATCTGCAAAGGACGACGCCTCCAAGCACTCATGGACAGCGGAGCATCGCACATCGTATGCGACAAGGCAACCCTCGACCGACTTGGAGAAGGGTACAAGCCATCAGCGTTTTCTGCAACGATGGTGGACGGCAGCAAGTTACCAGTGTACGGCGAAGCAGTGCTACACCTACAAATCGGTCCACTGCACTGGAAACCTGCTCTCCCCATCACCAACATAAAAGGGCTTGACTTGATCTTCGGGCGAGACTTCCTCAAGAAATTCAACCCCGAGATCAACTGGGTAAACCGCACCGCAAGCATCTACAACAAAGGAGAGTCCAGCTACCCAACTGGGACGACACAGGCGATATCCCAGTGGAGACACTCGCAAGATTCAAGAAGAACGTGAAACAAACCAACACCGGATTCCTGGCGATAGCAACAGAGGTGGGGAATGACGGAGAGAAAGCCTCGGAACCTCCAAAAAAAATCAAGGAATTGCTGAAGGAGTTCCAAGACATTCTTCCCGACGACCTCCCGGATGAGCTACCGCCATATCGAACGCACCAACACGAGATCGTGGAGGAACCAGGTTCGAAATCGACCTTTCGAGCACCATATCGGCTAAGCCCCACAAAACTAGCTGACATGAAGAAACTGATTGAGTATCTCCTCGCCAAAGAACTCATCCGGCCATCCACTTCGCCATACGGTGCCCCAGTACTCTTCACACCGAAACCGGACGGAAGCCTGCGCATGTGCATCGACTACCGAGCTCTTAACAAGCAGACCATAAAAAACAAGTACCCGATTCCACGAATCGATTATCTGCTCGACCAGCTTCGGGGAGCCACTGTATTTTCAAAACTAGATCTGCGGTCCGGAGACTGCCAGATACGAATGGCGGACGAGTCTGTTCACAAAATTGCTTTCCGAACTCGGTACGGATCGTACGAGTATCTGGTGATGCCGTTCGGCCTCACCAACGCACCTGCAACGTTCCAAGCAAAAATGAATCATATCCTACAGCCTCTCTCAGACGAATGCGTGGTGGTGTACCTGGACGACATCCTCGTCTACTCGTGCGACATGCAATAACATGTCGAGCACCTACGACGCGTCTTCGAAATTCTTCAACGAGAACGCTTCTACGTCAAACTATCCAAGAGCGACTTCGCTAACTACTACAACAGATTCGTGCCACAATACGCAAAGATCGCCGCGCCACTAACGAATCTGCTAAAGAAGAACACGCCCTATAAATGGGAGCCACAACACCAGGAAGCCGTGGAGCAGCTGAAACAAGCACTCACGTCCGCACTCGTACTCATCTTGCCAGACCCCGAACGCGACTATGTCATCGAAGCTGACGCCAGCGACCAGGCAGTGGGAGCAGTCTTGATGCAAGACCAGGGGAATGGACTGCAACCAATCGCCTACCTTAGCAAAAAATTACATGGAGCAGAACTCAACTACCCAATACACGACAAGGAGCCCTTGCTATCATCATCGCCTTCAAAACGTGGAGATGCTATCTCGAAGGACGCAAGACGACAGTCTACACCGACCATTGCAGCCTAAAATATTTGAAGATGCAACCAAGCCTCTCCAGGCGGCAGGTCCAGTGGATTGACTTCCTCGAGACAAACTTCCACTACGACATCGTGTACAAGCCCGGCCACAAAAACAAAGCAGAAGCACTCAGCCGGCCTGCACGCGTTGCCGCCATCCAATTTGAAGGGATGTATCCACTCCTCAAGGGAATCTTCACACACGGGTACAACATCGACCCCGAAATTCCCTTGGCAGAAAAGCGACATGTGCTACAGTGGACAACGACATCGCGTACCGGAAAGGATCAATGAAGATCTGGGTACCTAATTACCCTCCATTGCGCCAATTACTACTCGAAGAGTACCACGACGTCCTGTACGCGGGACACTTTGGTAGCAACAAGACGCTCACCGGTATCGCCAAACACTACTACTGGCCCCACATGGCAGATGACGTACAGAAATTCGTCACCTCGTGCACTACATGTCAGCGGATGAAGAGCAGCAAGCAGAAAAAGGCGGGTCTGCTAAAGCCTCTTCCTGTCCCAGAACAGCCATGGCAAGTGGTAAGCCTAGACTTTATCACCGGGCTACCAACTACCACAAGCGGTCATGACGCGATCCTCGTCGTCATTGACAAGTTCTCCAAAATGGGACACTTCATCCCGACACACACCACAGCACGCACCGAGGAGACAGCACAACTCTTTGTTCGCTACATCATCTTACAACATGGCATTCCAACCACACTCATCTCCGACCGAGACCCTAAGTTCACCAGCAAATTCTGGAAAGAACTAATGTCTCTCCTCGGGACCAAACTCGCCATGTCATCCGTCTACCATCCGCAGACAGATGGACAGACCGAGCGCCTCAACCAAATTGTGGAGCAACTCCTCCGTGCAGCCTGCAAGGACGACATCTCGAAATGGGACTTGCATTTGCCCGTCCTGGAGTTTGCCTACAACAATGCTACTCACGCCGCCACTAGACATACGCCATTCTTCCTCTGTTACGGACACCACCCACTCACACCTCAACGGCCAAACGTACCAGCCACAGTCCAACCCTCTCATGATTTCATCACGACCATGCACAAACTGTGGGATCAGACCCACAAGCGCCTTCTCGACATTCAGCAACAACAGAAGTGCCAAGCCGATCGCCACAGCACAGACCACACCATCACCGTGGGAGACCGAGTACTACTCGATACGCGCAATCTTGACATCAGCCATCTCCATCCAAACTACGACCTCGCTTCTGCGGGCCTTTTCTCGTTGAAGCACAGGTCACTCCTGTTACCTTCCGCTTACGCCTACCAGCTACCTAGAAGATTCACAACGCCTTCCATGTCCAACTCTTGAAGCCCTACCGAGATCCCAACACGGTCTTCTCTGGACGCCAACCGCCGCCGCCGCCGCCCGTCCTCGTCCATGATGAACCCGAGTACGAGGTCGAGTCCGTGCTTGCTCACCGCCGTCGACGGAATGGCACCGTGGAGCTTCTCATCCATTGGAAGGGTTATGATCCTTCAGAGGATAGCTGGGTCTCTGAATCCGAGATGGATCACACTCGTCGTCCTCTTCGCGACTACCTTGTCAAGCAGGGTGTTACGTCTACCACCCAGCTTTGTTACGACCCCGTTCCATTCCTCTCTCCTTTCCATCTTGCCTTTCATTCCTCTTTTTATCCTGATTCATTTGGTCTTTATCTCATTCCATTTGGATTCCTATTTCTTCTTTTCCATAAACCTTTGGTTTATCCTGTTATTATCATTATATCACCGACCAGGCCCAGGATGTACTGGTACTCTATATCTAGCGTAATCCTGCCGTTATCCCTTAAAGCCAATAGCCTCACATGGCTATACGCAGGGTGATTCTATTTTCTAGAAGGGTCTATTCCCTTGGGATAAGTTAAACCGGGTTACCCGATGTACTTTGGAAGTATAAAAGCGCCTTGTATCAATCGATAGTGCAACCTTTCCTCGACACATTTGATCTTGTGACATCGATGGGGAATGCACCTCGGTGTACCTTAGGATTCCTATTCTTGGATAATTACGAATTATGAAACCCGAAGATTTTGTATGCCCGAGACTGCATCTCCTACGAAAAACTTTTCTCAAACGCGACAAGGAACGCCAGCAGCGGGATCCTGATCGCTACAGTGCCGCACGGAGTCTCACCACCCCTCAAGACGAAGCAGATGCAGCCGGGAGAATATTATCAGCCCGACAGAGCAGTAGCAGGTCCTTCTATATTCCGCAGCAGTCTACGTCAGCAATCAAACAATTGTTCGATTCCTCTATTCCTTCGACACATGCCAACAAGACCTAAACACCGCTATTCAATCCTCTCTCGGACCCGTTGTGTCCTGCCAGGACACAAGCTGCCTATAATTATGAAGAGGATCTGCGCCGGGAGAAAACTGAAGCAACATCACATGACGGTGCCCGCCATCTGCCATCCGAAATTGACGATGATGATGTCGTCGAAGTTTGCCAAACTCATCCTCGTGGTGGTCAATCGGCTCTTCAAATCCTCAGACTTGCTGTCACAATTCAGCAACCAACGACCGGGATCGAGCCGAAAACAGTCAAGAAGGCCCTCTCCGGGTCCGATGCTGATAAGTGGCGAGCAGCTATGGATGCAGAGGTAGCAGCTCTCGAGAAAGCGGAAAACATGGAAACTCGTTCCACGTAAAGCAGGATGCGACAAGAAAAATCTTTCGCGCAAGTGGGTCTTCGCATAAAGATAAATGCAGTAGGCAAACCAGACAGACTCAAGGGGAGATGGGTCGTTCAAGGTTTGAACAAGCCCACGGCATTGATTACGACCAGACTTTCGCTCCGGTCAGCCATCATAGCTCAGTTCAAATTCGTCACGCCATTGTTGCCAGCCGCCACCTTCCACTTCGCCAACTGGATGTTAGAAATGTATTTTACAGGCAGACGTTGTTACAGATATTTTCGTCGAACTCCCTCACACTTACGACGATGGACTCCACTTCTGCAAGTTACTTAAGTCACTCTACGGCATCAAATAGGCTCCTCGCCTGTGGCAGCAGCATCTTCACAAAGTGTTGATTTCACTCGACTTTGTGCAGTTGCCCTACGATCTGCAATGTACAGATTTTAATTTCGAGGGCATTACATCCTTCTAGTTGCCTACGTGGACTTACTGCACACCGGCTCGTGCAACAGTCTTCTAAGGCGCATGGAGGAAAGAATCCAAGCGATTCTTGAAGTGACTATTTCCTCAAACGTGACCCTATTTCTCGGGTTAAACGTCGACTGCAGCCTCGATGCCATCTACCTTTCTACAAGCAAGTACGCTAAAACACTTGCGAAAAAGTTCGCAATCGCTCCTATCGGCTTCACCATTCCATTTTGTCACAATTCGGCCGATCACACACATGATACTACCCACTTATCACCTCCGAGCATCAGCTTTACCAGCAGCCAACTCGGGTGTCTTCTATTTGCAGCTGTTACATGCCGCCCATAACTTGGATACATCATGAGTCAGCTCGCACAGTACCTGCGTGGACCTGAAGGGAGAAATATGGCCGATCTTCGTCGAGCCCTCCAATTTTTCATTGCTACTCCTACATGCGGTCTTAGCTATATGACAAATACTGCAACAAATTTTTGACTGACTAGATATGCTGATGCGGATCACGCTGCTGACCCCGACAACAGGCGTTCGCATACAAGGTTCATCTTCAAACTTGAACCAAGTGGTGTCATTTCTTGGAACTCACGAACAGGAGGTCATTGCACTTTCGTCAGCCGAAGCAGCATTGGTCGCAGCAAGCTCTGCAGCAAGCTCTGTCTTCAAGAGTTACTTCAAGAGGCAAAAATCGCAACGACTCATACCTTCAAGTTACTCTGCGACAACCAGAGTGCAATCAAGATTGCAAACAAGCCTGGCTTCGTCAACAAGACAAAACTCCGGGCCCTTCGTTAATTCTTCGTTTAAGACGAAATCGATGAAGGGAAGGTCATCATGAAATACTGCCCTACAGAAGAAATGGCTGCTGATTTCTTGATGAAGAAACTCCCACGCAGAAAATTTCAGCACTGCTCCAACCTAGTTGGAATCTGCGAACGTGGTGACACTTACCCAAAGACATACACTCAGGAATGAAGGGGAGTGTTGAAGTATACTCGACAAAGTTTACTTATGCATGCCTGATATAATTCTTAGACTGTACTAGTAGCATGATACCTCATATGGAAGGACTCGCATGATGACCTTAGCAGCAGCGAGTCAATGCGTGAACAGTAGGTTCACGCGTATAGTCACCCGAAGGGTTACGCCACTCTCAGTCACACGAACAGTCACTAAGTCATGTCACGCAAATAGTCGCGATAAACTACGAACAAGTACATTCGAATAGGTACTTCCTAGACTATAAATATGCCTGTATTGTTAGAAGGAGGTTTAAGCTAGGTAGAAGTGAAAATGGCGAGAGAAAAGAGGATCGACGAGGAAATAGAGAGAAATACAAGAAGGGAAATTTTCCTCTTTATAGTAGGATCCGGAATTATAGAATACCTACCAAGCCTACACATATATATGTATATAATATATATAGAAGTTGACATGTATTACTAAATATTATTATCCTTCTCATTTCTGACATTTCCAATACAAGGTGTTAAGTCTTCCGCTGACTTTTACTCGTGTTCCACCAACTCTAGATCCTGGCCACCCTATATACGTGGTTCACTTCAACAAGCGAGTGGTTCTGGATGTACGGTCACCAGCGGAGACGACCATCGAGCCATCAAAGATTTTGAGTCATCGGATTCGTATCGACATGTTGACTTTCTGATATGAGTCATCGAATTGTCAACATATATTTGTATATGTTTTCGGCTAGATAGGTGCATGTTCATACATAGTACAACTCCTTAGGACAAAACCACCATCTATCACTTATTCTAATTCATTGCATTATTTTGATATGGTATTAGAGCGTAGGACCAACTGCCTTGTTTAGCCTCGGTTAAACACGGTGTGTAGCCTAGGTTCCCCTGCTGCGTGAAGCATAGGACCACCTGCCTTGTATAGCCTCGGCTCCACTCTAGCTCCTCCGTCTTCGGATGCCACCGCCGTGCTCTCTTTCACGCAAGACTCGGGTGCGTCTACCTGCATCTTTCGCGACCACACTGCGCTCATGCCGCTTGTCGCCCCTTCCACTGTAGCATTTGCTGACTCCTCCTTAGGTCTGGTAGTTGTACGTAGCTCAACTACCCTTCCCTGTCCGGCAGTTCCCTCGGGCTCCCTTTACAGGCTTGCACATCCCTTCGTTCTCGAGGAACCTAGTTGGTGTCGGCTGTCTTCAGGACCTCGGCGTCACCACTATGTTTCCTGGACACGAGTGGTACGCAGTCTGCACCGAGGGCATCACTGGTGCCCGTCTCCCCACGTTCCCCCGGGACCCGGTGTCTGGCCTGTTCACTCTAGACGCGTCCCCCCAAGTAGGAGCGTCCCCCCAAGTGGTCGCGCCCTCCCAGGTCGCTGCTACTTGTTCATGTCGGTCGCTCACCCACCCATCGCTGTTGTGGCACCACCACTTGGGTCACCCCGCACTCCACGTCTGCATCACATGTCCCAGCACCAGCGTCGCTCCCCGCCCTCTTTCCTTGCCTGCGCCGCCGTGCACGCCCTGCATCAAGTGCCAGCTGCGCCATGCCCCTCACTCCTCCTCGCTTCCCCTACCACTGCACCATTCTAGACCCTGCACCTGAACGTCCGGGGCCCAACCCCCGTCCTTGGGCCGCGTCGAGAGCGCTACTTTCTAGTGCTCGTCGACGACTACACACGCTACACCACGGTGTTTCCCCCTAGTGCGGAAGGCTGACATGCCTGGCGTTCTTATCTCGTGGGTCGTAGCTACGCGAGTCCACCGTGGCCTCCCTGTGTTGCGTCTTCACTCCGACCGTGGCGGCGAGTTCGCATCCGGTCGGCTTGGCCAGTTCTGTCGTGCGGAGGTCATCACCCAGTCGTACACCCTGCCAAACTCCCCGCAGCAGAATGGGGTCGCTGAGCGACGCATCG